AATAAAGGACAGCAAATTGGACTTAAGAAATGAGGATGGAAGTGAGAGTAGAATATGTCTGTACAGATCTCTCAGTAAATTTTCTATGCAGGTCCATATTTTCATGTCTCAGGAAATCAAATTTGTGACAATCGGTGCCTAAGAGTTGATTCTTTCCTTATGGAACAATAAAGTTACCTGGGCATTCTATCAAAAAAACACATGCAAAGGAGTATTAGTGCTGCATTCTTTTTAGATATGTAAGAACACATACACACTCCATTGATTGGTCTCCAAATCCATAGAAAATAGTCAAAGTTATTCTGGAATTATCAAGCCCAGACAGTCATCCATGTTCAACAGTTGTTTAATTCCAAAACTGAGTCACGATGTTTTTCAGACCAAATGCAGACCTCCCTATGAGAGACAAAGTTCAGGGAACTCCAGGCTATGAACAAGTGAGTCAGGTCTGAGAACGCTCTAAAAACAGCCATGGCAGTGCAGAGCTAATTGCCTCCTACGTGGGCTAATTAGCTTTGATGCAGCAGTGCAGTAAAGCAGCTATCCTGCCTGTGGATCTGGCCCTTAAATCACTGTAGTGCCCAGACAGCATTGTGACTTGCAGTCATATTCCAGGGAACAGAAGTGAAAAAGAACTAAGTCAGTTTTATAATGGTCAGTGATGAATCCTGTTGTCACTCCACCTGCAGTGAATATACACATATGCATTCTATCACTAAATTAAGACATACACGTGCATGAGATCAGTCTTCTCAGAAGTACGAAAAGTCTCCCTTGCCCTGCTCTTGCTGGTGCACTATCACAGCATTATTATCATGGCAACTTTCCCTTCCATGTTTCCTCCAATATGCACTTCAGCTGAAATCAGCTGCTGGGATAGTAACCTCTCCGAGTCACTGCCTGCAGACAGGCTTCTAACGAGAAGCCCTTTTGTTAGTATAACCTAGTGGAAATGAGACAAAAAGAAAAAATTGTCATGCCTCAATTTTAAAATATTGCTTTGGAGTTGTTTGCTGCCTGACACATACAAGAATGGCTAAATTTTAACATGGAACCTGGGGCTTGTGTTTCTGTTTTAGAGCATGGGGTTGAGCAGAAGAAAAGGGAAGCTGAAGCAGAGGAGAGATGGCTGTTACAAGAGTAATTCTTTTCATGTGTTTGATTTTCCAAGAGCACTTGGGAAAAAAAAATTCAATTTCATCTTTACTTCATTCAGCCACCGCAGGAACCAGGAACAAATCTGGATCTCTTAGTTTGGCCACACACATTCCCCTCATTTCAGTGAGAGGAATAACAGCAGCAAGGTCTCAGCCTCTTTTTTGGATTTTTTTTCTTTTGCTTTTAAGCTAAATGATGAATAGCCTGATCACGCAGGCTGCAGATCAGGCAGTATAAACGGTATCACCCACAAACATTTAGCTAGTTTGTTACACACATTTAAAAACTAGTCATGAAACCTTGCTGCAGCACCCTGCTATTAAACCTTTGCTTGGGGAATTTTTATGAGGTTTGGATTAGGAAGGTCCTACTGGCCTTGTTAATGGGAAATAATGTGGTATACTTACATTTTTATTTCAACAACTGTGTAAAAGTGTCCATTGGGCAAACCTGCCTCCTCCACTTCCCCAGGGGTACCTGTGAACAAATAAGTGTTAAGGCCACTGTAGTTCATTTTGCAAAGCAAGGACACAAAATGCAGAAAGTGAAGAAAGATCTCTTTGCTTCTGGTTTGGGGTAAGGGGATGAAGGTGGGAAAAAGGGGGTCTCCATGTGCTGGGGCACTGGGCTGAGGCAGGAGTGGTACATGCAATTATAATCTGGGCCTTCCTGAGGAAAGGTACTGCGGGAATACAGCTGCTGTTGCTGAAGTTAAGAAGAGGGAAGGAAAACTGGATTAAAATTGTAACTGCAGTGGGTTGAAGGCACAGGGCAGAAAACGTTTTCCATTTGTATAAAATATAGATTTGTATGTAAATATTCAGCAATAACTTCTGTAGTAATGAATAAGAAATAAATTGCTTATTTGATGTATGATAAAACCATTATTCTGCACAGATGAGGCAGATGACAATTGATTTATATTGTCTTGCAAAAGCTTCAGACAATTAAGGAGAAAACTGTTCTGAGACTTATTCCATCGACAAAATTCTGGTACAGCTAACAGCAATATGATTCACACAAGGATCATCTGGCATGTAAAGCTCGTTTTAACAGATACCAACGTGACATACATAAAGCTGTCAGACTTTCTCCAAAGGACAGTCATCCACTTCATGTTTCAAGTGCCAAATTAATTATATTTGACATTTAATTTATAACCTAAGGTATTTTAGATTTGGAACTTGACTATGATAACAGCAGATTAGAGTAGGCCTCCATTTGACAGAATCGATTTTTCAATTTATTTTCCTTGTATGTGAGGGCCATGATTCGGATTTTTGTGTATCGAGCTTGCATACAGGACAGTGACACCTCTAAGCAAAGAGGGCTTCGTTCACCTCCTCCCCCAGCCATTCCGTGTTGAATTATTTTGCACTTGGAAGCAAGTTTCTTCTACAGCCTTAATCACAAAGCTCCACCTAATGGAACGAGGGGAGAACTGTGCACAGAAAAAGAAAGGGAGAGAGACACTGCTAAACTCTGCTATCAGGGGAAAAGATAAGCAGTTAATCTCCTCCACCTAATTTATAAAGTCTCTCTTTCCAAGGTCTTTCAAACATCGAGGTGGGATGAAAGTCATAAGGGGAAAAAAAAACCCAAAGCAAAAAACCTCACAAGCAACCTCATCCTTTACCTCTTCATCTAACTGAAATTGTAACCTTTTTATTTTAACTGATAGAATTTTCACTCCATTAATACTAGTCTTCTGCAGTGGTAGGTTGCACCTTATAGATCCCAAAGCATTTAAAAATTATAAATATATAAAATAAGCTGTAAATGTTGGTATGTATTTACTGCTAGATGGTTTATAATCAAAAGTAAAATCACTCATTAATGGAACAATCAACTAGCTTTTTAAAAAATTGGCAAAATATTTCTTTCAATTTCTGCACTGAAAATGAAGGCTTTCTGTACAATTTTAGATCATTCATTGATATCACACAGCTGGAACATTACTGGAACACTAGCATTTCAAAATATGAAGGAAAGGAGCTGAAGAATTTAAAAAATTTTGCGAAGATCGATGTCATTTTCAAGGTGGAGCAATTTTTTTTGCAGATGTTAATATAAAAGAGCATACAAAGTCCTCCAGAAGCTTAAAAATTCACTCACAATCTCAGATTTGCTCTGCAGCCAGAGGAAGGCTCGGTGACCACTTTCAGACTTTTTCTGCAACAGAAGGTACAAATCTAAATGTCACCTTGTATCAAGATAAAGCGTTTCACTGGAGAAACAGGACATTTGTCAGGATCATCTTATCTGAGATGACTAACGCAGTGACAGCCCTGAGTCTGTATTGTAAAATTGTCAGTAGTAGGACAAGACTAACTCATACTTTCTAGTAAAAAATGTTAGTTTGGTATTCAATAGTCTTCTGTCAAGAATTGCGCTTTGATACTCTGCAGAAATAGACCTGCCAATCTAAAATTGTTTTAATTCCTAATATTTATGATCAGATGTAGAAGTATGACACCTGCAGCAGAATAACTTCCATTGGAAAGGTGATTAAATCGTGTCTTCATCAGCCTTCAAATACAATAATGTGCAGTTAAATCAGGCTATTTCATGGCCAGCTGAGATTTTGTAGGGTTTATCTCTTAACTTCATTACTACCATTAACAATGGTGATTAGCATGATTTTCTTAACCCTACTTCTATCCCTCCTCTTCCTTTGATGCCCTTGGGTAGAGGCTTGGTTCTGTCTGTTCTTCCTTAATTTCACAAGATCCCTAGTGACAGAGCTCCCCCCAAAACTTTAGCTTCTCTGCTAAATTGAGCTACACTTGGACAATGAGCTCATGATTTACCAGGTGGAGGAAGGCAGGACTGGTGTATGGATGGATGAAAGAAGAGCAATCTCATTAGCCCTGATTCCTGAAAACCCCGGGAGAAGGGTCTGTGTGGGTAACCTGAGGGCATCGCCCAGGGGCACATCAGGGCAGCCCACTGCAGGACATCGAGCCAAAGGATCTGGAAAGCCAGGACACACCGAGAGCGGGGGCTCTCGGGAGCAAAGCTGGTTTCCGAAGAAGGGCAAAGAAGCCGGTGAAGGGTCTGGAGTGCATGTCCTGAGAGGAGCAGCTGAGGGAGCTGGGGGTGTTTAGTATGCAGAAAAGGAGACTCAGGGGAGACCTTATTGCTCTCTACAAACACCTGAAAGGAGGATGTAGCCAGGTGGGGGTCGGCCCCTTCTCCCAGGTCACAAATGAAAAGACAAGAGGACATAGTCTTCAGCTGCGCCAGGGGAGGTCCATGTTAGACATTAGGAGGAATTTCTTCATACAAAAGGTGAACAGACATTGGGATGAACTGAACAGGGAAGTGATGGATTCGCTCTCCTTAGAGGTGTTTAACGAAAGGCTGGACGTGGCACTTAGTGCCACGGTCTAGTTGACAAAGTAATGTTCGGTTGTAGGTTGGACTCCATGATCTCAGAGGTCTTTTCCAACCTAGCTGATTCTGTGATACTCTGAAACCGCTAAGTCAGACAACACCCCGCTCCCCCCCCATCGCGGCCGCCACCCACGGACCGTCAGGGGGTGGAGGTACCGCTGGCTCCGCCCCCGCGGCCTCTCACAGCTGGCCCCGCCCCCTCGCTGAAGCCCCGCCCGGGGGGGCGTGGCTTGGCGAGCGCGGGCTTTGCCCGACGTGGGGCGCGTAAATGTGCGCGACTGCGCATGCGCTACCCGTGACCCGCCACAGCTCTTCTCCCGCCCCCGAGGTGCTGTAAGGCGCAGCCTCCCTCGGCGCCTGAATGGCTGGCCTGGCCTTTCTAGCCAATGGCAGTGGCGCTTCTTGCGGCAGCGCGACGGCTCCGTCCGCCAATGGTGCGGGCGGTTGTTGCCTCCTTCCTGCCCTCTCCCGCGTGTACCGCGCTTCAAGATGGCAGCGGCGGCGCCGGCTGCGGCGGAGCTGGAGCTGCTGGAGCGGCTACTGGGGCTGCCGGCCGGGAACAAGTACGGCGTCCAGGGGGAGCGGAAGGTGAAGGGAGCGAGGAGGGGCCGGGAGCGGGCGGCGGCGACGCGCGCGGGATGGCGTCCCTGGCCTCCCTTCCCCGACGGCTGCTTCCCCCTGCGCTTCCCCTCTCGCCTCCCTTGCGATTCCCACCCAACACCCGTGCGACGGTGACTGCGGCCCCCCAGTTACGAGGCTGCGTGTTCTCTTTGAGCGAGATCTCGCCTGTGCTTCCTCCAGACTTCCCTTCATCGTCCCCCATCTGTTATGGATGTTGTAGGCCCTCGCTGTCTGCGAGTCTGTGGGTTCTGGAAACCTCATCCCTCTGCCCGTGGAAAGGGCATCGTGTATCGTGGAAGCGATGTCTGTTTGAAATATATCTGTTCTTGCACCGCTCTCCTTTTCTCTGCCTTTCCCTGATGCCTGTGCGAGTTACGTCTGTGCGGGCGTGGTTAAATTACATGGAGGGAGGGGAAAGATGCTGCTTTAGTGTTGGGATCGTGTCTGTGGTGAGGAACTATTGCTCTTAAATATTTTGTTCTTTTAAAGTACTTCTGCCTGAAAGGAGGTTCTAGTGAGGTGGGAGTCGGTCTCTTCTGCCGTGCCTGCAGTGAGAGGACCAGAGGAAATGGCCTTAAACTTAGACAGGACAGGTTCAGATTAGATATTAGAATAAAAATTTCACCGTTAGGGTGGTCAGGCATTGGAATAGGATGCCCAGGGAGGTGGTGGAGTCACCACCTTTAGAGGTGTTTAAGAGGCATCTGGATCTAGTGCCAAGTGATGTGGTTTAGAGGTTTCAGTGGCAGTGCTGGACCTGATGATCTTGAAGGTCTCTTCCAACCCTGGTGATTCTTTGATTCTAGATGTCTTGATGTTTTTAAGTTTTGTATGGAAACGTAAAGTTCCGTGGTTTGAGAGGCACCCGAGGCATGAGAAATGTAATAATGAGGCTGAATGTCACAAATTTTGTGACGCCTTTTACCTCATCCTCCCTCCCAGAGAAGGTGGATGGAGAAAAGAAGCTGTGCAGTTGCCTTATAGTTTGGGGTTTTTTAATTGATTATTTATAATTAAGAGTCCTGAATATGTATATCCTTAAGTTGCAAAAGCTGTCTTAATTATTTAGCAACCTCACGAGTATTTTAGTGCTATTTACTGTAAAGCATAAGGCTGAAAAAGTTGAGTAACTAAATCTGTCTGTAGTTTTTCTGGCTGCATGTTCAGTGGAAAAAAAACCCTTAGTAGTAGTCAAAGATATTAAATTATTTTTGTAGTTGTATCAACTTGCACCTTAGTTTAAATAAGTCTGAACGTAGATTCCTCTGTGTGGTCAGATACTTTAAATGAAAAGAAATGTTGCATTTTAATCAGTTTCTGTTGTTTGATGTCATAAATAACTGAATGGACTTCTGTCTGTTGCAGTGAGTTTCAATTCATTCTTTCATTTATTGACTTAGTGGTTCAGTTTTCTTTCCCACAGTTTGACATGTGCTGCTGTCACTAACAAAGACATGGTTAAATCTAGAGGTGTGTTGTGTTGTCCCCTCACAGCACTAGGGAGCTCCTGGCTTCTGTCAGGACACTTGGGATGAATAAGCATTTCAGGAGGTGTGGTCACTGCAGTTTGCTTGCTCAGAGAGAAGTTGGATGCTGCTGACTTTACAGTCTTAAAGAAGAGTCCTGAATCTGAAAATGAGTTAGTTAATAAGATTTCTGCCAATGTTGGAACAAACAATACTATTTCTGGCTAATATTGGCAGAATTTGATTAGTTGGAGCTAAAGATGTCTTGGTTTGTTCACGTTCTTCTGTAAGAACTGAAAATAAACCCCAGAGAGTGAAAAGCAAACATACACTTGGTTTTGATGGTACTACCTTTACTATGAATGCTTCTAAATTCCGACTTATTGCCTTAAATATCCTTTTGAGGGGCTGCAAAAAAACAGTAGCTATCCATATAGATATGGCTTTTTTTAATGAGTTGTTAAGTCTTACTCTCTTGTTTCCCTTCCAGGTTCCTGTTCTCCAAACCAACAATGGCCCCGGGCTGACAGGGTTGATGACCATTGCTGCCCACCTTGTCAGGCAGGCTAAGAAAGAGCATCTGCTCGGGAACACTGCAGAAGAGAAAGCTGTTGTTCAGCAGTGGTTGGAATACAGAGTGACTCGAGTAAATGGAGGCTCAAGTAAGGAAGATACTAGAATAATTCTGAAGGTAAGGAATACTTAATTACCTTGCCACTGAGTTTTGGAGTGACTAGACCTAGAAGAAGGTTACAGTGCTAACGTGTGTGTGAACGTGCAGTTAACAAAACTAAGCAAATGCTAAAAGCTTGACAGTATTGTTAAGTACTGGCTTTTATTCTGCTTGCTGCTTTTCACTTTTAGTAACCTGAAACAGAAGGGAAAACAGTTGAAACTGTAAAACATATGAAGCAGAGCAGGCTGTACAATGTAGTTTAGAGATTGTTTAGCTGCCTGTGTAAGACACCAGTTTCTTATTATCTTCATAAACCCTTGGTTATAAACGAGTTGGCCTTGTATTTCAAGGTAACACTTCTCTGATTGTTTTAAGAGCTGTTCTTATTGACTTGGCAGTTATGGAATACAGGCGATACTTGATGCTGTGGTAATTGGCATTGATACCAAGAGGAGTTATTGGATAGAACTGTGTGTGAAAAGTGAAATCGTAAAGGAGCCTCTACAAAACTGCCCTTTACATCAAGGTACTTTGTATGGAGACCTTGGTCTGCTGTTATTAAACTTTTCCTGCAGTCTGACGCTTACTTCCTGTTAAACAGGTGGAAGCAGAAAAGAAAATCTCAAGGGTCACCCTGTTATTTGAGCAGCTAGATGGCAAGGAGTAGATAGTAAAACTTACTCTATATATCTTCTTGCTCCTTGTGACTGGTAATTAGTGTTTTTGCAGTGTTGTGGGAACAACTTGAAGAGAAAATTTGCTTTACACTGTTAACTTCTCAGGGCACTGTTTACTAGGCATGTATCAAACAGCAGTGAAATTCAATCAGTTTTTAAAATGGTTATTTTTTCTAACTTTGAAAGTATGTTTTCGATGGAAAGTTGAACTGCTCAGTCCTACTAGTCAATATGGGTTTAGAAATAGCTTTGGTTGACTTTACTTTGACTCTGGTTTGCATCTTAAAATGATGCAAAGCAAAACTTTGTTTCCCTCTTCAAGCTGACAGCCCTCTTGATCTTGAGGACTTGGAATATTACGTCTGCTTTACCAACTTGGTGAAAGTCCTCAAGAACCATTTCTCTCACTTGTACCCCAAATAATCTGAGTTATCTTGATTTCATTGTATCTGGGAAATATCTTCCATTAGTTAATTATAAGTTTGTTTACATTGCTTCTCTTTTTGTAATATCTCTGCTCTTACTTTCTATGTGTAAACGTTATCAAAACCTTCACAGTCATGGTTACTCTACAGATATCACATGAAAACTGTCTACCCTTTGGGATTTTCTGAACTTGATTGAAGGAGACATTGACTAATCTGGGTTTTAACTTTAGCTTTATGACAAGTATCATATAGTTTCAGTCAGTTCTTTAAACGAATTTGTGAGGCTTTTTCTTCTTCTGAACTGTGAGAAGACCATATGAGAATAGATAACTTTTATTCACCTTTCTTGCCCTTCTATCATATAAAAACCAAAAGCAAGTTTTCTGTCTTCTTATAAAAAAGTACATCTGCTCTGATGGCTTCAATGCTGATGTCTGCATTGTCAGCACATACATGTGAGTATTTGCAGAACTGCATTAGAGTATTAAAACCAGATGCAGAGATATGGTAGTTCTATGCTGAAGCTGGTATCACTCTTCAGTTTTAGGCTTAGGAACACTGGCCATGTAGAAAAGACAATATACTGAAATACAAATATGTAGATAAATCAAGTGTTTCCAAGCAAAGCAAAATTTTCTTACTGAGAAACAATCAGTGTCACTCGGAGGAGAATCTCTGCCTTTAAGTAGTTTAATAGATATTACCATTTTAAAGTTTTCCTGTGTTTTTTTTTTTTCTTAGCAAGTGTTGAATAACCAGAATTTATTTTAACACAGGACTGCTGTGGAATTGTTCCAGCACTAATAATTTCATAGTATAGCAATTAAGGATTTTTTTAATTTGTTCTCTTGCCACTATGATTAATCAGAAGAAGAGGCAGCCTACCATTAAAGTATACTGTGCCAAAAGGGAGTACTTTTTAAAAAAAAAAAAGAAAAACTAAAATAGGGAGGGAAGTCTGAGGCTGTAGTTTTACAACGTGTCTGGAATACACAATGTCAGTCTTGGGACAGTTGCAGCCTAGAGCCACAATTTATAATAACCTGCGCCAAAAACAGTTCAGTCACTTCTGCTATAAACTTTAGGCTGCCTCCATTTAACCCTTAACTGAGGTGATGTGATTCTACAAAGTGTCAGTAAATAACTGGTTTAATGTCTGTTAATTTGAACAGGAAGGATCTGTTTGCCCTAGGAAAATAGGTTCTTAAATTGTTCTTACTGATGTGTTGCCTAAAGCTATTACTTGGCATGAAAACAATGGTGAAACAGACCATCTCAGCCAGGGTTTTTATATTTATTCAGAGCAAATGCCATACTGTTCACAACGGGCCAATAAATGGGCTTGTGAAGTTTTGTCTAATTTTGATTTGTGCTTCTGTACTGGACAGAATAAATGGGAGCAATACTTCTGGACTGTTCTATAGCAGATATGTAGGAACTATGAATGTCAGTAGTAGTGATAGCACAATATCCAATGCATTATGTTAACTTCTTTACACAGGATAAGAGAGTATTTTCCTTTGTTTCTTTGATGTTTGGTTAGTGGTAAATTAAGCTACATAGGGGGGAAAAAAGCTGAGAATTACTGAGCCCTCAGGCTTGATAACTAGTTGTTTTTCTACTCCTCAGGGAAGGAATTGAGAACCTTAGTGAAACACTTGTGCCATCAAATGGCTACTTAGAGGTTAGTGAATTCTGTTCAAGAGGTTTTAAAGTCTCTGCTTTGTCGATTTTAGGTATGTAAATCTTGAGCGTGTTCCTCCCACCCCCCCTCCGTCTTCAGGCGTATTCAGCATCTGCCAAAAAACTGGGAGCTTGTACTTGAATTCACAAGAATGAGATACCTCTGGTCCCTGAATCATAATTATAAACCAGAATTTTTGTGTACTACTTTGTGTCTTATGCAAAACAGTGTTCCATGACTTCAACTAGCTTTATCCCAATCTCCTGTGCTGTCCAGCTGTGAGCATGAAGTTCAGTTAGAAATCTGAATAAGAAAGCTTCAGTTCCTATATAATGTGCTTGCTTGAAAAAATTACTCTTTCCACAGATAAAAAAGCAGGGTAATCCATGCTCTGCCCATGCCATTAATCCACAGTTCTTGTGCACTGTTTTTTGGTAGAATTCTAAATGGGATGCCTACCTACTTTAGCAAGCTGATCCAGCAAGTCTCTTTTAAACTACAACTTTCTGTGTTCATTTCTCTCCCTCTTCTTTTAGCACCAGGATATCTTTTTGTGCTTACAGGTTAGAGGATTGAATTTCGATTATTGGAGCAATATTTCTTGATTATTTTTCTTCTCTTTTTTACAAGAAACTTGGTATGTTGAATATAATATTCTTCCAGACCAAGTGTAACTCATAGTTTGCCAGTTCAACAGAAGATTCTTGCATGAGAGTTAAAAATACAGCTAAGCACCAACAATGCAGTTCTGTTTTTCTTGGATGTGGCCGTAGAAACCCTTTCTTGTGTTCTGCCTTGTCAGGGGCTTTCCTGGGGCATTTGAGAGTGCTCAGCTTTCTGTCTTTGCATGGTGTGATAGATATAAAGGCACTTAGGGCATGAATGACCTTGATAGTCTTGCTGACTGAAAGGATGTGATTCTGTGTTGTAAGGGAAATACATACAGCAGCAGGATGTTGTGGACAAAATATCCAAAATAAAATCGGAGTATGAGTAGGTCCTTTGTAACCTACTGAGTCGTCACAAGAAGCAACTGTTGCTTATCCGGATTGCTGTTCCAGCTTGCGGTGACTGGAAGCGATTCAGTTGCCTTAGTGGATTAAATGGATTACAGGCAATTGTATTGCATACTTTAAAGACAGTGAGGAATAATGGGGTAGTCAGAAGTGTGCCGTGGATGGGATGTGTTGAGCTGTTGCTAGATATGGACTGTAAATCGAATTTATTTTTTTTTCCATAGAACAAGCAAATGAAAATCCACCAGTTAGTCCATAAATAATGCGGCGTCTGTTCTTACGTTGCTTTTTCGCCCTCATACCTAAAAATGGAATTTGAATTGCTGCAGTTGTTCGATGTATATTAGTGCATCATACTGCAGCTATGCCATACATACCTGTTTGAAATTTGAGAAGGAATTTTCTGAGGGATTGCAACAGTAAGTTTATATAGTTACAAGCAACTTCCAAGACTATGGTATTCATTACATGAAAGACAGTGATACAGAAGACAGGTAGCAGACCTGAATTTCCTGCATGTAACAGAAATTCAATACAGTTTCGTATTCGGGTTTTCATTAATGTCTCCAGGACAGAAACACTGTTTCACTTTAATAGCATGGTCACTTCAGAAAACTTGACTTTCAGGAGTTTTAGCACAGTTGGCTATTAGCCAGTAATGTAATCATCCATGGGAAGGATAACCCATGAGGCAAGATTAACTAGATGTGCCTAATGCACATGGAAGAAAACTTACTGTGGTGCTTCTGCATTATCTTGACTTGCAGAATGAAATAGGAATATCTGTCTGTATTTTATGGGAGGAAAGTACATGTTCTAAACCAGAATTGTAAACTAATGCTAATTTATACGAGACTAAACTATTTTTGTCAAATTTAATTTACTCAGTTAACTGACTTCATAAAATTTGATGAACCAGAATAAATAATTGTTCATGCTGTAATGGGTTACTTTGCCTTTAAAGTTTTAGGGTTTTTTTTTATTGATGACTGTTTGAGTGTACACATACAGTTTAAAACTCAGAATTAACATGCTGTAATTTTTTTGATGCAGAAATCCAAAATTTTGAGCACGGAAATAACTGTGGTAATTGTATCTTTGGAGATAATGAGCTTTTTACTTTACAAAATCCCAATTCCATAGCCTAGGCTAAGAAGAACGGAGATGGGAGGTTGGCATATAGTTCTGGTGGTGTTACTTTTCATTATAATGCATGTGGAATTTCTGGTTAGTTGAAATGAAAAATGCTGGTCAAAGATCTCTGTCAGAACAGACAAGTTTATGGGGGTTTTTTTTCTAGTAAACAGATCTCTAGGTTGTTGGGTTTTTTTCTTCCTCCAAGTTTTTTCTTCTTAACATTGCATTTACCTTTGTGCGGTGTGTAGGAAATTCCACAGATCTGTAGTTACGTGTTTAAAGTAATTTGAGTGCTAACTAACATGAACAAAGGAGTAAACCAGTCTAAAGAAAAGAAGCTACATAGCCAGGGGCAGTTGACCTTACAGAATTTTAACTATGCAGGGGTTAATATTTTTCCCTGATTTGCTCTAATAAAAGAAATCAAAGCAGACAGGAGGATGTTTAAATATTACAGAAGTACAGGAGTCCTGTCGTGAAGAGGTTATCAAAGAAATAGTAAGATGGCATAATGTAGTCAAACTTGTCAAATGCAAATGCAAGGTCAGATGTCTTAAAAGTCTCATTATTTCAGTTTTGTGTTTCAGTCTTGTTTTTTTTTTTTTCAATATGTGTCCTGTAGGATATCTCTATATTGGTAAAATTATGTAACCACAAAAAGTGCAACATGCTTAAGGCTAAATATAATTTTTTTAATTGTTCACTAATTATTAACCCCCTTCTCCTTGCCCTAGACGTTTTTTTATTTCTTTTAATAAAAGGTTGTCTTAAAATGGAGTGCACTGTAATTGAGACTGAAAAATTTAAATTTTTTAAAATGTTAGTTACATTTAAGCATAACTAACTGTTTTGGGGGGGTGTTGGCTTAAGGAGATGTCTGAGGGGAAAAAGAGGAGTGCACAACTAACAAGGAGGGTTTCCAAATCTAAGGAAAAGCTGGGAAACTTGTTTTTGTACACTTCTGAAAAGAACACTTTAAAACTAAAGCTTGCTTAAGCTGGCATCAGCGTAAAGTCGGTAATTTTCTTTGTGGTTACGTTTCTTTCTTTAGAGGGAAGTAGAGGGCAGAAAGATGCATAAATTGGTTGAGAAGTAGGTAAGACATAGAGAAAAGGAAGGAAATATTTCTTTGGAGTCAGATTAAAATAAATTACACTTGTATTTATAAAAATTTGACTAGATGTAAAGCGCTTTTTTTAGACACCACCATTTAAATTTTACCTAATCTCACTGTCAAAGTACGGTGATATTTTAGTTTCTTATCTTGTCACTCACTTTTTAGAATTTTTTTCTTCTTTTATTGTTTTTCTCATTTGCTGAGTTGGGATAATTTAAAGCTGGTGTTTATTTTATATGCATGGTCTCCAAAGGAACTTTCTATTATTTTTAACAATTGCCTTAATGTATTGTTTCACAAAGTCAATACTACAGCAGTATAATGACTTTTCTTTTGTAGGATCTTAACATGCACCTTGAAGATAAAGTCTACCTTGCAGGAAACATTTTTACCTTAGCAGACATTTTGATGTACTATGGATTGCATCATATCATGGTAAGCATTACTTGCCTTATTTTTATATGTACAACTGCCATAATCGTTATTTATCTAAAGGGCATTTTATTGTTGTAGAAGTTGACCTACTGAATTGATCAATGACAGTTATGGAACAGAACAGAGAAAAATAAAATTCATTTTTAAGTTGTTCGTTTTATACTTTAATATTTAGCTATGGATCTGTCAGAAGAAGTGTATTACCTGTAATGTCCAGAATGCTTTAGTTTCCTCTGTATAAGTAGCAAGGATGATACTTGTCCCTGTGTTTCAAGGGTTGACTGTTTGATTATCTTTTTTAGTCTGAAATATGACTGCTTACAGAATTACATGAGGAAATAGATAAAAGAAACTGAAAGGATATGTCAGAACTGAAAGTACTAACCTTGTTACTATTAGAGGAATACAGATGCATGTAAATTAAGCTCCTGAAGGATGACTGCATATAAAAAAGTTTGAGCCATAACAAATTGTCATTTGTGTTTCAAGACTTGAATGATAATACTTGATGGAAGGTACATAATATGAAATAACATGGGGAGCTAGTGCTTAGGAGCAGAAAAAAACCCCACACAACACACCCCCCCACCTCCCCACAAAAATAAGTTTGTCCTGAGTGGGGAAGATGTTGAGATTCCTTGTAGTCAGCTCAGGTTACCATGAAGTGCTCAAGTCATTGCACCTTCACTTCTGAACCCCAAGTGTTAATTTAAAGATAGAGCAGCAGAAATTATTTGCATTTCGTGCTGGAATGTGTTTGTAAATGAGCCATTGTCATTCTCTGGAGTGGGTGCAACTAAAGAAACCAAAGGACTTACAGGAGAAGGTCTGCTAAATTCTTGGGAGAAGATGAAATCCATCAGTTTTGCATTAGAAAATTGTGGGGCTGGGGGGAGAGTGAGGGGGGAGAGGACAATTAGAAGAAGATGCCTCTGACGGATGCACATGTGTCTGAGAATCAGTGAATTCAGTCAACTGGGTGAATGGTTACTTTTATACAATTCAAAGCAGAGCTCTTGGAGAAGAGTGGAAGAATGCTACATTTCAAAATGGAGGCAGAGGAGAGGAGGAATCAAGTTGTGAAATATTACCAGAAGTGAGAATTTATGTATCTGTGTCTTGACTGTCCAGGAGTAAAAGTTCAAATGAGAGAGAGTTGAGCAGAGGAGAGGAAAGGGAAGCTTCATTTCAGAAGGTTTTTGGAAACATGCTAGAGTAAGTCACTTAGAATTAATTCTGTTAATTCATATTTGCCTTGTAAAATATCCTAAGTAGTAGGATAGATGTTTTGACTAAAGTGTCAGAATGGGTTACCTTTTACATATGATATGCAGATGTAGAAAAAACGCTTAAGTACCTTCTAAAAATATGACTGTATATGCTGTAAGAGAGTAGGAGTTCAAATGAGATTTTTTTAAAAAACTTAGGGGAAAATCCAAGCATTTTTAAATTTAGAGTTTGCTCTAGAGTAGACTACCTAATCAAGAAGAAAAGATACAAGTTATTGCTTTGGGAAATAGAACAGATGGTAAAAACAAATGACTTGGTGCTCCTGGGTGCCTGCAACCACCCAGACACTACTTGGGACAAGTTTATAGTATAGCATCTGTTTCTGAAATGTTTGATTTCACGGAATATAATTTGGTGAATCAGAAAGGTGTAAAGGGCAAGTAACGAGGTTATTATCCTAAATAAATATGAAAATCTAGAAGCTACTAATTAGGAATTACATATATTTTGAAGCTTTCAGAATTGATTCATATTAGTACTTAACTATATAGGTAAGATCTTGAACTGTAAAATCCTGTGATTTTAATTTTTTTTAATTATTTTTATTTTCCCTGTAATGAGAAGAGAGTACATCCAGGGCTGCTGTTCAGCCCTAAGCTTTATGAGGGAGACAGGAAGAGTTGCTGTATCCCTTCATGTGATGTGGTCCAGGGCAGCAGTTGGTCATATCCACCACTGCTTCAGCCAAATTATGCAAAATATCAATAAATGTTTCCTGTACTCCTTTAAGGAAGGAGGTAAAAATGGGAGACATGGGGAGACCCACAGATCTTGCTGTCCATCAAGTTGTTTAGAAAATTGATCTGAAAATGTTGCTGATAATGACCTTTAAGGCTAATCTCTGCACTTTTGATTAACTAACTGTGATGCTAACACAGAGATTAGCAATAGAATACTGGAAATATTACCGACATATCATAATCACCCTAAATAAGCCAAGTAGTAAAACTTTAAAATCCTTCTGATGCACGTTTCATTGGAAAGGTTTTTAAGACCAACCAATCCTTTTGCTCAGTTCTTCACTTGTGGTATCATCTTCCTTTCTTAGTGTTCCTGAGTACAGATAACGTGTCTTTGTATTCATTCACTCCTTCCATCTTCATTTTGCCTTCCCATAATCCAGGGAGAGTTCTGGAGTCTGGTTCTTTAATGTCCAGGTTCGTCCATTTGAGCTGACTAGCTGAGTTTGTCTACTGACCAGCAGCAACTCTTAATTCTGCAGTTGGGTGCTTTTCTTTCATTCTCCTTGTTCGTTCTAGTTATCTTGATAAGTAATATTATTAAGTACAATAGTACAATGTGTTTAAAAATCCACGTTGTGGCAAAATAATTAGTATTTTAATCAGTGAGAGTCAGATTCACAGGTAGTGTTTCAGGCTTTTTGCAGACAGGATCTATTTGGAGTCTATTAATTAGAAATGCACACTCATAATAATAAGACAGGAACTAAATTGTATGCATTGTTGTTCTGCATCATAATATAGGTCACAAACACCCAAAAGTGTAATGCTTGATACTGCCTTTTCAGTCAGTGTGATCTACGTTGTCATATGTAATTGATGTCTCTATGTATGTAATATAAATATTGTTGTCTTAAGGAGACTTCAATTGCTTAAATATATATGTGGATAAATATGATGAACAATGAAATTCCACTAGGTTAAAGCATAGATTGCAGAGAAAACATGAATTTGGAAGCATTGCTTGAGGATAGCTTGGGCAATCAGTAAACATTAAATTCCCCCTGTGATAATAAACTTGTTTTCATATCTGTTTTTTAATTTAAAATTATAAAAAAAAATTTCCCAGTGTCTTTATTCTTAAGTATTTTTGAACAGCAGAAGTCCAGTTCTATTTTAAGAGAAATAATCAATGTGAAGATTGATCTGCTTTTATACTTCAAAAAAATTGTCAGAACCAAAGAAGTGGTCTCAAATCTATATGTCTGACTTGAAAATTTCTTTAATAAGGTCTGGAAAATAACTTATGGGTGAAATTTATATGTGCAGACGGAAGAAGAAGCCTCAGTCAAAATTTTGGTGTCAAATCAAAAACAGTCGAGTACAAAACAAACTAAGCTGTTCTCCTTGAGTCACAACTACTAATAGTGAACTATAATGAGACTGCAATAGTAGTTTATTTTGTAGGGTTTTTCCCATAATGAATATTTCCCATAATAAAGAGATTACTGTGAATTTTTGTTAATATTCACTGATATGCTGCTTATTTTAGTACTGAGATGAGGCTTTCCTTCTAAAGAATGATGCTAAAAATGGTTCTTCAGCTGAATTACAAAAAAAACCCCAGTTTTAACTTAAAGGAAAGATTTACTTTTAAACCTATTCCTTTAACAGCAGTAAAGTAGTCAAAACAACATGAATGCACATGTATGTCATGAAATACACCATCCAACTGTTGAGTATTTTCTTTTTCTCCCATATTTAAAAGATAAAGTTAAAAAGTGTAATAGTATCTTAGCCTTTCCTCATACTGAAGAGCTTCAGATGTAGCCATGTATTTTTAGACTTTCCGTGCACACGTAGAGTGTGGGAATGAGAGTTTATGCCTGCATCCCCAGTGCTATGGAAAGCAAATATAATTAAAGCTTGTGTATTTATAGCCCTTGCAGCAATTCTTAGAGTTGCATTATATGATGACCACCTTGGTTCCCCTTTGTGAGCTTCGTGGTGGAAGAACAAGACTTTTTTTCTTTTTTTTGTGTGTCATGGAAAAAAAAAGCCTGTCAAATTGAGTGTCTGCTTCTTTGCTATTAAAATAATTGCTTTAATAGCAAATAATTATTATAACAGCAGAACAGCAGCCTTTCTTAACTTGGGGGAATTGTCTAATTTAATGAGGAAGAACAGAAAATACCCATCTAACAAAATGTTGTAAAAAATGCCATGGAAGTGATCTCTAAACAATTAACCTAAGAGTTATGTTCTGAGTAAAAAGTAGAGCATGCCACAAAGTGCTTTTTAATATATTTCACTGATAGAGTACATTATGTAAATAAGTAAAAATATCTTGCTTGTTGTGCCTAGAGTACAAAAAGGGGTTTTATTATTAGAGTAGCTGTCTGTTTTGCCCTTCAGATGTTTTTTCACTATGCTAACAGAATGAAAGAGGACTAGTTTTCCAGACATGGTTGATTTCCATTGGAGAAATGTAAAGATTGAAAATTTTCAGTGTAAAATTATGGGGAGGAAATACTGTATCTGCTTCAAAACCTAAAGTTTGGTTCAGCATTTTCATAACCAAGTGCTTACCCATTAAAGACTTTGATAAAGGGTATTGTAATCTCAAGGAACTTAAAATGTCAGCATTTCAGTGTCTGCTTATACTTTTAATACTTTTTCTTCACTTTGAGTAATTTTAGATGGCCTTAGAGTACACACATTGTTCTTTTCATTCTCTGTATTACTTTGTTAATGGTTCTACAGCTTCATAGCAAGCATCAGCTTCCTACTACCATTAATTATAATGCTCTGCAGGTGATCAAGAGCATCTTCCCTTAAATGGTACTGCCTTTTTATTTTGGTGTTATATTTTAATAGCTTCCACTTTTTGTTTGTAAAATTCTGGACAATTTTTTTCTCACTTATTAGGGTTATTCTCTTCCACTTACCTAATTCAAATAACTCTTATATTTCTAGATCAGAAAAAATGTGGCTGATTTTAATTGATTTTTCTGTGCATTTCTATCAGACTATACAGCTGTAGGAATAGTATTTACATTTCCATGCCAGCAGCAAGAAAAGCAGATTTTCTCATACTGCCTGAACTGAGGTTCATAACAGTTCAAAATTGCAGAATGTGTTGTGGAAATACATGTGTAGTGCTCCACTTGTAGGCAGGTAAGTTCTATAGGAAGAGCAGCTACTTGGGTTTAGGAGCAGCTGCAAGATCCCTGCTTTGTGGTTGTTGCCACAGTTACTGTGTTCTTAACCTCCTGTTAATAGAGCTTTAATGCTATGTGCCATTAGTTTAGAATTCCTTCCTGCAAGTCCTTGAATTCTTCCTTGGTATATTTCCATTGGTTCATTTTCCAGTATATTTCCTTATTTTCTTTTTCCTGCTACACATTTAAATCTTCTAAGTCAGGTGCTGGGCTGTGTGAGAGAACAGCTAGGAGAAGTAGCAAATGTTAAAGGCAACGCTTGATATCGAAAGGCTGTTGTGTCACAAGGTCAAATTTAACATGAGGCTTGGTTTTAAACAGCAGCTTTTCACTCGAACAGCTGAGTGAATATGTATAGTTCTCACTGGGATCTAAAGTTTGTTGAAACAGATTTGTTTCTAGCTGTCCTGTGCCCAAGACCAAATTTGGAATGAACCTGCAGCATCCATAAAATCTAGAATTTATAGAACAAAGCTTCTGAGGAAAGGATTAACCTTGGGTAGCTTTAGAAATCTAAACCTGGAAAAATATTAGGCATGTGTGGGTAGCGATTTTCTGTTAAAACTGTCCTCTACAGATGTACCCTTTTTAATTGACTGCAGGCATTGTCAAGACTTAAGTTAAGCTTGGCTAACTGAAAATGAAGTGAGGTTAATCCCACGCTGATTGGTTTCAGTATTGGTGAGGTAAAATAGAGTAGTTAATGTGAAGATCACATTTTGTTCTTGATGTAGGTTTTGTAGGCTGTTTTGAGGACTACCCCATTTGTAATTCAGTTGTAGTAGGTTAATGTGAGGATTGTTAATGATTATTATCTAAACTGATAAACTAACTCGATTACAAAGCCATAAGGAGAGATAAAATTGCTAATCAAGGAATAGTAATACAGGTGATACAGGATGGGAATAGTTCTTCTGCAGCTGGCTTGAAAGACTGAAGGAATTACAGACTTTTTAGTGAAGCTTTGAGGATGCTGCTGACCTGAACTTAGAAGACTTTTAAAGGTAGAGTTTGGATCTGTAACTGTAGATGACTTTATCTGAGCCAGCCCTCCAATTAAAGGTAGGCTTGAAGTTCTGTGTGTATCTTAGCCACAATTCCTGTGGCAAGGAGTTGCTGCAATGATTGTGTGCGATAGTTGGAAACTTCTTCCTGACTAAATTTTGCAGCTATTTAGATCTGGGTTGAAATAAGCAGGTAACTGTGCTCTTAACTTGAGAGCTCTCGTGAACAACAAGATCTCAAACTGTAGGACTAGGTGATAGTACTTCAAATATTTTTATGAAGCATGGACAGGTTTCCAGTTTGTTTTACTGTGGCAATTTGAATCATGCCACTGCTATCTTAATAATGTGAGCTAGTACATCTGAACAGTTAAGTGGTAAACTATGCTGATTCTTAGTAACTATGCCATATTAGGCAATAGTCATACAAAACAACTTCCAATTATCTATCCAGTCTCAAATTGCTTGAAAAAAACTTACTCCTGTACTTACAATACACCTGGAAACAGAAAGTGGTCAGTTTGTCTGTGAGACAATACTGTCTGTCTTCTAAATTAACATGAAAGGGTCGTGCATGTTATGGAACTCTTTCCCTGCACGCCTCAATACTGTATGCTGATCCGAGGAATAGAAAGATGCATTAAATTCAAGCAAGCTTTTTTCCCCTCTTTATCATACAAATGTATATTCCACCTCCAGGTCTGTTCATTTGAGTAAATTAAAAGTTCTTACATGTTTAGGGCTTAAATATTAATATGTGAAATTAATATGGAGTACTGCTGGACTGCAACATCTTACTGGAGTTTAAATCATTTGTAAAACTATCTACTTTCATTTTGCTTTACACTAGCGATGCAGTGCCTGGTATTACTTGGTGCCTTGTATTTATTCCCCATACAGGTGGACCTCACAGTGCAAGAAAAGGAGAAATACCTTAACGTGTCTCGTTGGTTCAACCACATTCAGCATTACCCAGGTGTCCGGCAGCATCTGTCTAATGTCGTCTTCATCAAGAACAGATTATACACAAATGCTCATTAAGGAGAATCCTAATGTTGTGTTGGAAGGAGGTTTGGGAGTTTAGAAGTTATACTGCCCAAAGCCACTAGTAGCAAATATTGTTTCGTAACCTTCTGTATGTGAACCAAAACTGTTAATGCCTCAGATAATACAGTTGCATTGAATTGCTGTTGTTCATTCAAGAATTGGAACTAAAGAATTGTATCATGTATCTGATTAAATGCAGCAATGGGAGAAAGATGGAAATTGAGTTTTAATTTACTATTTTAAAAAAAAATTTAAAGTTCCTTTAATTAAACACTTAAGTGTAATGACATGATCTTTATAGGAAATAATTGGTTATTTTCCTTCAATTATCCACTCCTTTTGCTATTTATTGAATTTTTATGTATGTCGTCTCACTTTTCATTTTGTTTTCCATGGATGTTTACACTAGTTTTGTAAAAGTTAAGAGCTATATTGTGTGCCAAGGATGTGAAAAAGGGAACATGCAAATGTTACAAAGTATTTATGTGACTGAATAAATTATTTTAAAACTGTAGTTTTAATTTGGCTGTGAAACTTTCTAGTTTTTATTCAGTTAGGAATATGAAGATTTTAAAAAGTTAGTTCACTTCCTACTTCATTTTGTGGTTTACTGTTTTGATTCTAGAAGCATTTTCTTTCAAAGTGAGTAGAAAAGTTAGTGTTCTTCAAGATTTTGTGTGTGCTTCACTTCATTTTTTTACACAAGTATGAACGCAAGTTTCAAGATTGTAAAAAAAAAAAAACCACCCAAACCCCACCTCAACAAAACCAACCAAAAAACCTCAGTTTAAGATAAGATAATGAGCTGGTCTGTCAAGTTCACTTGCAGTGTTTAAAGTTGGTTTTAAAAACAGCAACACTCTTGTTGAGTCACACATTTGGATAGGTCATTTAACTGTAGAATGTGGTCCCTCCATTTTTAACAAATTTAAGAGTGCTAACTTTAATTGGTTAAATATCTTCTGCACAATTCAGTTAACATTTCTTTTAACATGTGAAAGAAAAAAATGATATTTTAATTGATAAATTAACTTCTATGTTGGTTTCTACAACAGGGTTTAGCAGACAACTTCACTTCTACATTCTTTAGTCTTAACTTGTGTGCTACTTTAGGAACTTCCCACCAAGTAAATACAAATACGAAGATATCTTGGATAGATGTTTAAGCATTTTGAATGTTACAAGTCCTATAAAAAAAAAAAAAGATGGGTAGATAATTAAAATACATCCTGACGCACAAATGAACACAAGAAAATTGTAAGGGTAAGCATAACCAGGACAATTCTGGGCTCTAATAAGTGTTTTCTGTATATGTGTAATTTTTATAGAGGGTTTAAAGGTACACCAAGTTACTTTTAGAGTGAAAATACTTAATTTCAGAAATTTCTCATCATTTTCCAGGGGGCTTAAATCTCTGCTTCTGCCATGTCTCAGGTAGTCTTGTTCCTTGCTATTTAGAAGCTCACCTTCAGTACTTACACAGATCTCACTGAAATCTTGAGCTCTGTTCGAGAATCGTGGAGTGGGCTTTAGAACAAACATACCTTAGAGACTTCACCATCCAGATTTTTCTCATTTGACTACCTGAAAGCTTCAGGTGTTAGCTGTCAGTGCTTGCACTCTTAATTCCCAATTTATTCAAATATTTGCTGCCTAGTATTATGTACACAAGTGAGTTTGCTTTTCCCCTCAATTACGTGTGGGACCAAGTGATGGCAAGACTTAGAAAAATACCTACACTTCTACTCCATTCTACTATAATGAGCTGTTTTCTGTTGCAGAAGGGGAGCGTGGGTGTGCATCATCAGTGCATTTGTTCAGGGTTTAGGGAAGTTTCACATTCATCTTACAGATTAATTGTTTTTATCTATGCTATTCCAAGTGAGAATTATTCGTGTTTTGTAAAGTGTATGTGCAAGTCGTCATCTGTGAGAACAGCAGCTTATGTTACAGCTGAGACCACTGAATGCAACCAGAGCTAAATACTGCTGAAAACAATACCGTCATCTTTTCAGGCAAGTTTTGTATAAATGTTGCTACAAAGTGTCTTTTTTTTTTAATCCCAAATAGCTGCTGTTTCCAAGTATTGGGATTTCTCAAGTTGCCTGCATGCTGCTGCTGCAGTATCCCCTAGCCTCTTGTGCCAGTTTTATTTTCTCTGGTGTAGAACAGAAGTGTTACTTGCTTCTGAAATACTATTAAAAAAATTTCACCTAGCAGAAAGATGAAATGTTTAGAATTGGATTAGTAATATTTAACTCTTTACAATCTAAAAGGTGTTTGGTCATTATCATATGGTGACTTGAGCATATTTCAGTTTTTTCTCTCCTGCACAGAGAAACTTAAAGGGATAGAGGGTTAAAAGCAAAGAAGAATGGAGACTTTGCCTTTAGAGAGATAAGTGGGAAAACCAGATGGTATTGATTTTTCTGCCATCTCCCCCTTTCTGTCTAATGCCTTTTGATCAAGGACAACTAAATCTGTAAAAGAAGTTCTGAGAAATCACACAAATGTAGCTGAGTCTATCCGAGATTCTATGAGGTACATTTTTTACAATTTTACTTTGTAATTTATACAAAGTGTACTGTAGTGTGAGCTTTCAAATTACCATTGATGGTATAAAGGGTGTGTGTGCATGGGCAAATCTTCAGCTGTTTTTAACGGTACCTGTCTTTCTGTAATATTTTATTATACTTTCACTGAACGTTAGCAAAAGTGACTTTCTTCCCTCACAACCCCTTTCTCCTTTCTTAAAACTTCAGTTGCTGAAGGGCACTGTGATGTTTTACTTTTGTTGCTTAGCAGTTTGATCATGATGATGACCACACTGATGTGTGGAATTTATTTTCACAGCATTTCATGATCAGCAACGCTTTCATTTGTTAATGTATCTCATCATTGCAGTATTATTATTTTGGATAATTGTTCTAATTTATTCAAGGGGCCTGACGTGTTATGGTCTTTTAAGTATGTGCCTCTGGGACTTGAGGTTGTTGCCATATGGTGAGATAGTGCTGCATGACAACCTTTCAGCAACTGAAGAATTCAACAGTGAAATTAATATGATAATTTTAAGTGTTCAGTGAAATCTTACACTTAACCACTTTGACTTGTCTTTTTCCTCTTAATGCCAAGATGACTGCTTGCAGACAGGCCAGGTTGAAACAGGTGTTTGAGTTTTGCATCAGATATGTTAGGACTGTGCTGATGATTTTTAGTTGTCTTTGTATGTGTAATAACTTCATTTTTAAGTGAGAGTTCATGTTGACTTCTGAAGTCTGTAGGGGTAGTTATTGCTCTGAGACTTATAACTGAGCAACAGTGACTTACAAGAAAACTCAGGTTTCATATGGGATTAGAAAAGGGTGAGTAGAAATAAGAAATTTGGAAAAATTACTCTGAACAAAAAAACCCCAATAGTTCCAGTTTAGACATGGGTACTAAGAAATTCTGACCATTCAAATGGACCAAAGTGTAGCCTTTTCATCAGCAAAACTGTACAGAAATTATTTATGATAACTGAAATGTACAACATGTTTTCTTTCAAGTTCCTGTTGTGTCATCAGTGATTTACCTACCAGGTTGGCATCATATTTTTTATACAGAGAAAACATGTTAGGAGATACTACTTCTGGTTTAAAATTAAAACAGTCCAATCAACCACAGCAAGTACTTGCTTTCGGGAGGTTGGCAACTATTAAATTGCCAGAGATTCTATGTGTAACTTTAGCCAGTGAAGTCTACTAGCTAACATCTTAGTTGTTTGCCTGTAAGGGGTGATATTTTCACGTATTTATAATCTTTTTTATTTTGTAATCCTTTTCTATAGCCTACCCCACCCTCTTCATATATTTAAATTTAAAAATAGCCTTTTCCCAGGAATTTCATACTATTGTCTGAATCTTTGGAAGCACATAGGCCTAGAAATAGGGAGCCTGTTTTTTGTGAAGTGCATCTTAAACTTCCTGATAGGTGTTACAGCTCATCAGAGTATTTTTATTTAATAATTCTTCAACATTAGTTTCTTTCTGTCTTACACACACATACGTTAATCTCAGTTATAGCTGATGGAAGACTAATCTAGACTCTTCAGTGTGGGTGTGGATCCTGAGTTATCACAGGGAACTGAGGCTCTTAGTAAGGTGTAATATAGATGTACTTTGCAATTCCAATAAGACACTCTCTTATATTAACTATTTCATATGAAAATGTGACTCAGAAGTGCTTTTGTCCATTAAATGCACCCAAGTAACATTATAGATGAAGAGGCAGTAGAACTTGGGTATCTTTATTCTCAGTTAAAAGACAACAGATGATCAAAAATCTGCTTGTCAGTGCTGTTCATTTGGAACAAAGTATGTAAAAAGATACTAGCTGAGAAAGATGGAAATAAAGGAATAGAACTGTAAAATCGTCAAGAAATTCAATGTAAGCTCTTCTATTCAAAAGTCTGGTTCATATTCTTTCCGATCTGTTTGCATCTCTGCAGGTGATTTGTGGTTTGTCTGCTACAGGAATGCTGAAACTGGGAGTAGATTTTTCTCCAAGTAAATTTGCTTGATATAGCCATGAATTGATTTTCTAATTCTATGTGTATACAGAACCTAGTATGTAATTTTTTCTAACTTTTTTTGATTTTTTTTTTTGCTAGGAAGAGGGATCAGTAGGCCTATTTGGTTTGTTTTTCCCCTTTCGGTTTTTAATCTTATCACTTCTTTTAATCTTTGGTGTGTTTCACAGTCTTTAACTTCAAAGTGTAATTGCAATGATGCAGCTGCTTAATGGATTGCTACATTTAATATTTTCCCCCTAGGAGCAGTATTTCTTCTTTGCATCTATAATTGGATCATGCTGCTGCTGTCCCTGATGGAAACACCAGGTTTCATATTCACCATACACCTGAGCACATGCTTATTCACTTGGTAATCCTAATTTTTTTTTTGATTTATCAAAATTGAATTGTATTTTGGGGGGGGGGATTTTTGTGCTTGAATTTTATTGCAAAAGAAATGTGACAGGAAATGCCATCATGCACCTCTTGCTGCTCCAAGCTTTCAGATCGAGACTGGGTCTTTGTACCCTACTGCTGCATGTCTTGAATGTTAAATTTATAGTACTTCAGAGCCCAGCTTCAGGGCGATGTATAAAGATACCACAGATTTGGGAGGGGGATTGATTTTGTAGCAAGCATTAGTTGTTGCTACTCTGTGCACATTCCTGCAGGCGTGGCCTTTATTTTCCATGCTGGTAGTGACTACAGCCACCGCAGCTGCCACGGAACACCACGCATCCCATCTCCCGCTCTACAGGCAGGCAGGAGGTGAGTAATTTTTCATTGTTGCTGCATCCTAAGGATTCCCCTTTCCCCACCCACACTACCTTGGCCCCTTTAGGAAAATTTTCATCTATTAAACTTTCCCTCCTCTATTGGAGGAACTAAATCTCTCTCAGCATTTTCAGGCTGGTGATCTAATTTGACAGCTCGTAGGTGATGTCTATTCCTCTTCAAAGAGG